TAGTTCCACTTATTTGATTATGTTTTTTGACATGCTATTAAATTAGGTCTTAACATGTTCTTTGCCATATATTAAATTGAGAGTATTTGAATAAGTTTTGAAATATTTATTTAATTATTTTCTTTGTATGAGATTTAATTCACATAGTTGTATCTAGTATGGAATTAACTTGTGATATGATATTAAATTAGGCCTTGGCATGTTCTTTAACATATATTAATTTGAGAATATTTGGATGAGTTTTGAAATCTGGAGATTTTAAAATCTCTTTAATGGTTCCATTGATTTAATTAAGTTTTTAATTTGATATATGTAATGACCTTGAGTTGTTCTTTAATATATATTAAATAGGAATCATTTGAAGTTGATTAAAATCTAGAGAAATTAATTAAATAGTTTAATTAATTTTTATTTAAGTGTTCTATTCATTTAAAATATTATTTGACTTGATATATGTAATGACCATGCTATAATCTTTGATATATATTAATTAGGGAATATTTTGATGAGATTTGAAATCTAGAGAAATTAATTATTTTATTTAATTAATTTCTATTTTATTGTTTAATGATTTAATCATGTATTTGACATTGATTGTATGTTTAAATCATAACTTTGGACTTGTATTATATTTAGGAGATTAAGTGTTCAATATTGATAATATTGTCATAGCGTATAACGAATCACACACTAAAGTTCAACATTTATATGCCTTGTATGTATAACGAATCGCACATTGAAGATTCGACATTTTAAATGTCATTTTAGACTTGAAACTCTAGGGGACATGGTTCGTGTAGTTTCTATACTTTTATATAAGTTTTGGACTTATTTTGGAAACACTTGGGACATCACACAATTTGACATAGCTAAGGCGAGGTCCTAGTATGGGGGATAAGAGTTCCCTCTACAATTATAGTGTTGTTCCCGAGGGTTGGTAGCCCGAAGTAACTGTTGACGTCTAATACGCACTTGGGTTGTTCCCGTGGGTTAGTAACCCGATCAACTACTACGTCTTGGTTCTATTCTAGGATTCGATGTCCAAGATATTCCGCTATTTGATTTCTCATTTAATTACAAGTTGGCAACCAATACTTAATTGTAACTTGTGATTTTAGTATATAAAGTTCTAAAATTGCATTAGAGACTTGTGTATTTTGTATTTCATTTCAACCATTTAAGTAGTTGAGATGATCCCTTAGTTCGCTTTGGAACATAGACGCTAGGTGGCATGAACCACTTTAGTTGATTTCATATTTTAGATTTCAAGTTGATAATTTTGATAATCCATATCTTGTTGCGTTATATTAGAAGTTTCAATTATGTTAAACAGTATCATTTAGTTGTTTTCGCATTTTAGATTTCAAATTGATAATTTTGATAATCTATACCTTGTTGCGTTGTGTCGTATGCTCCAATTTTATTGAATTGCATGAATATTCTGGTTTATGCTAGAAATGTTTTAAGGTAGCTTAGGATGCTCCTTTAGTCTCACCTTGGACATAGACGTTAGGTGGCATGAATCACATGAGTTGTTTCATATTAATTTAATAAACTTGTAAAACGTTAGGTCTATGCATGTTCATTCCCTACGAGTAATGTAAGTTACTCACCCCGCTAAATGCAATTTGTTTCAAGAAAGAAGATGAGGTTTCGGGATGTACAATATCCCTAGGTTGATTTGTCAATTTGAAGTACTTCTGATGTATTATTTTTCACATGCAAGTGTTGGCAAATTTATGTTTTACTTATAAAGCTGTAAAGAATAGCTAGGTTCATTATACCATTTATGCCTTATGATATGTAAAGTGTACTTAGGTACACTCTTTGAAATGTATTTGATATGTATGAGATAAGGCCAGTGGCCATTTACTTTTAAATTGCTTCTTTTGAATACTTTTGGTTTTATGCATAATTATTAAAAAATAGGAAAATATGAAGTTTTAAGTTGTCAATTTCAATTCGGATGGTGCAAAGTGTGCACGGGCACACTCATTAAGGTTCATTTAATATATTTGAGGTGTGGCTAACGGCCAAATGCCTTTTCATTTGCATCTATGAATTTTGTTTCTAAAAATTGTTTTTAAAAGTCATTTTAGGCAAATTTTAGGTTTGATAAGTCGTATTTTGCATCGGGCATATTTGGGGGTCAAGGACCATTCCCGCACGTCTTAAAACACTAATTACGTTTGCGTGCACAATCGTTTTAGCCCAGAAATTCATTTTGGCCAAATGCACACTTGAAGCAAAATTCCATTTTTAAAGTTTTAAGCACCTATCTGGTCTAAGGGCATTCTAGGCCTTTCACATCGCAATTTAATTTTTTCTTTTGACATGGTCAACTAGAAAACTTGACTTTAAGGGAGGTTTATTCTTTGTGTTTTTCAAAAAAATTCATCTAATATCAGCAAACTCAACTGCTGTCAGTCAGCAGGCTTGCCCGAGCACGTGCATGGGGGCTTGCTCCCTTGGCCATGATGTCTCCATATTTGTTTTTGGTCGTTCTTCTTTGTTCAAACACTGAATCAAGTGATTTTTGAGTCTAAATTTATTATTTTTTCGTCTATCCAATGGTTTGCTTGGTAGCACCCAAATCTTTCTGGAAATTATTATTTTACCCCTAGGGCTAAACTTGTCCATTTTTAAAACGTCACTTCCACTTTGTTTTACTTTTGTTTCTGTGGCTTCATGGGAAGTCACGATTGTGTCTTAAGGATGACGTACATCTCTCGAGACTTTGTTTCTGTGTGAAAAGACCATTTTGCCCTTGGGGGCATAATTGGTCTATTTTTTTATCTTTTTCTTCCGCGTTCGTTCTCATTGAGTTCCGTGACCTCATGGAAGCTTGCTTTGACGTCTTAGAGGTGTGTTGCACTTCTAGAGACTTGTTTTCTGTTTTTTGCTTTGGCATTCGGGATTCGTTATTAGGTCAATCTTCGGGTCATCATAGGACGCAATAGCTTGAAAAACTAAGGCCGTCACAGAGAGAGAATTTGGGATCGTGTGAGAATTTTAGAGAGGAAGAATAGGTGAATTTGAGTCAAATAGAAGATGTGAAACTGGGTCTCTTATATAATGGATGAAACTGGGTCTCTTATAGTTAAATGGGTTGAATATGGGTCACCCATTTTGACCCATATTTTAAAATGGTTCACCTATATCAATTTTAAAGCGGTCGGATATGGACGGGTTGGTGGGTCATGACCCATTTTGCCACCCCTACTATAAAGGGAAAAATAGAACTATAACTACAAGTTATGCTAGCTGTAACGGGTGGGCGCTTACCTATTTACCTAAAAACTCAAGTTGTTAAGTAGTGTTGCATACCACCCATTTATACCCAATCACTTTTCCCGTCGGATCCAATGTGGGACAAATGACCTTTGTAACATTCTTCCCCACCCGAACTCGCAACGTCCTCGTTGCGGTCGGACCACCCTGCCTACTAGGGGTGGCTCACCTGGATGTCTTCCGGGCTGGGGGCTTGGCGTAGCACCGGATCAAGGAGTGAGTTTGACTCTAATACCAACTGTAACGGGTAGGCGCTTGCCCATCTACCCAAAAGTTCAAACTGTTTGGTAGTAATGCATACCCACCCATTTATATCCAATCACTTTCCCATCTGGATCCGATGTGGAATAAATAACCTTTGTAACACTAGCTAAGGTTACTTTGTGCCTCGACCAAGCCTTGATCAGAGTCGGGAGTTTATTTTCTAGGTCTAGTTATTTCAGCAACTCACATGGCCATGCTAATAGTTGTTCTTGGTTACAACCCTAATGGATCACAATCATACTCCTACCTTCAACTCTCAACCGAGGGTTCCAGTAATGTGACACCTTCAACCTTAACCAAGGGACTTCTCCATAATGTGATTTGCATCAATCAATTGAACTTACTTGGGATCTGTTTGGTACCGGAGACATTTTACGAATTTGCTATAGTATTTTGAATAAAAATTGGAAACATATTTAATATGGCCTATTTGTTACAAGATTTTTAGAAGCAAAAATATGAAAACATGTTTGGTTAAAAAATGTTGAAATTTGAAAAATATATTTACTATAAAAAAGACATTTCAAAGTTCTTAAATTATTATTATATATATTTTTTGATATTGTTCATCGCTACTTTACCCGTTGCTACCACCGTTTAGTAACATGTAAAAACACCAAATCAGTGTTTCAACTTTGAGGCACCATGTACAAAGCATTTCAAACTTTGAGCCACTATTTAGAAAGCGTTTCTGCACTATACAAAACAACATATTATTTACCAAACACGTTGCGGCTGAAAACACTGCTCCAGTACCCAGCCCACAACAAAAACACATAAACAAAAACGCCAACCAAACAGGACCTTAGCAGAGGGAAAAAGGATAATTATCAACACAGCTATAAGAGGATTAAACTGTGGCATCCACTTATCATCCTTGGTTAACAATTATGTACAACAGTCAATACAATTGTATTAATTAGCTACAAGCTAGGTATTGAACTTCCCTGACTGTCGCTGTTGGCCTATCTATTGATACAAAAAATCATATCAAAAGGGGAAAGTTTTGGAAGGACAATATGAACTTTTATGTTCACAAAAAAGAAGAGAGGATGTTAAGGATGTACAGTATCTACAAATGAAATCTCTCAATTAATGTTGGAGATGATAACCGTACAGGGCAATTTTCCTTCCTCAAATGTTGCTATCTTGGGGAATGCTGATTCGCACATGGATTGTGCACTCAATTGGAGTAAAATTTACAATTGACAGCCCCCAAACCGATCCAACTACTGTGTGAAGCTCGGCACCAGATTCTTGGATGCTTATTTACAGTACAACAAATGCATATATTTCAAAGCAAAATATGTCTTCTTCACTCTTCACTTAAACTGGGCTTTCAGCTTGTGCAAGAAATCTAAAGTCTCTTTATAGGAAGGATCGGTGCGGCTGAGGGGCTTGCAAGAATTTATATGATCTGTGGACTCTAATACCTGTGTCCAAACATAAAAATGGACAATGTAAGTTAAAATATACACACACATAATAAATAAACAAGGTAAGATGCATGTTCAGCAAGAACCATGAAAGGCCTACAAATTCCTATTTGTTCAAAACACCAATTACTTGAAGCTAAAATACCACAACTAAAAAGAGAGCCAGCGAATCCATCTCGATAACACTACCACGATTCCTAATTGTTCCCAAAGATTGATATCTGCAGCCTATTCCTTCTATAAATTTTTTTTATCCCCTGGCAAACTAGGGGAGGGGGGACTCAAACACGGGCACATCCGCTCGGGGAGCTGGGCACTCTACCAACTAGGCCACTAGGTAATTACCTATTCCTTCTATAAATAGGATGCTAGAAAATATATGGTTTTACATCCTTACAGATCTTCCATTTGTAGCTGGAAAATAAGGCATTTCATGCAACCATGACAGAAAAATAGTGGTGAATACACCCATGAGAGACGCGTGTATGAAATCTTGATTAAATGATCCCATGGTAATAAAATATCTCACATCCTCCTAACATCACAATTCAATCATCAAGGACTAGGACAATGGATTAGAATGGCTATCAGATCAGAGAATTCCCTGGAGAAAGGATTTAAAACAGTACAGAGAGATAGGCCACTTGATGCTGTGACACATAACAGGAAGAAATTGTATTTCAATAAGTATCCAAGTAATTTAAAGTCATCATAGAACATAATTGATATGATAAGAAGATTCATGGTACGCTAAAATAACAGTATTGCACTTACAACAAGTTCACCAAATCCAGGGTATGCTGATTCAATAGGTACAATTTCCATTCGGAAGGCCCATCCTCCATAACCTTCAACAATCGGAGTTACCTTGGTCTGCAAAATAGCCTTTAGTGAATCTCACTTGCAATTTAGCAAGCACATTCACCCAAACACGCAAACTTGATTATTTGTAATACCAATAACACGACAAACCTCTTACCTCACAGAAACTGAGCACCTCAAGCAGCCCCTTCTTGTAAAGGTGACGAATGAAGTCGTTGAGCTCTACTAGTCTTGGAGATCCACTTCTTAGCTCCCCTATCTACAAGTGGAAATAACCATCTATTAACATCATGATGTCATAAGAAAACAGAAACTTGGGGAGTACAACCAAGTATTGTTTGGAGGGGGAAAACAACAGCTTAGTACAAAGATCAGATACTGACAGTGGGGGCAGGGCGAAACACAAGGCCCATTCGCCAAGGCATGTCTGCAAGCTTGCTGCCGAAATGTGGACAACTATAGAACACCTGAAACCACGACAATACACTAAAATTTATCGTAAAAATTCAGACAAAAAATCTGTAGCATAAATAACTCCATTTAATGAAGGTAACATACAAGTCCAATGGTGTTGTTAACAAGGTTATCCTTATTTTCTGCTTTTGCTTGATTTAGCATCTGCTTGACAACCAGGCCTCCCATGCTGCACACAGAACCATTAATAACACTAAGTACCACGTGCAAGTGGATGTTAAAAGACTGATTTACTTCTATATCAGTGCTGCAACCCAATAGAAAAAAATTGACTCAGGAAAGGCAAAACAAAAGTAGTGCTCAACTGAGTTTGAGAAGGCAATTCAAGGGATGGGGAAGAGGAGTGTAAGTTCCAAAACCCTAATAACCCATCATCTACAGAGCGAAGAGGAATCCTTATTTTAAAAAGAAAATCTATTGTTGAGTGCATAAAATCAATAAATCAACAACTGAAAGCAATGAAGTCAAAATTTTAGTATTCAAAAGCTAAAATGGCATGCTTTGTCTGTTCGTTTTCACAATCTCTGCTCCGTACCCAAATTAGAAAGAAAACAACAACAAACAAAACCTTTTCCCAACTACTTGGGAACAGCAAAATCTATTCCTTCTACAAAAGAGGTGGTTTTCACATCGATAACTTGTTATAATCTATATATCATGCCATGCCATCCAAATAACCCAGGAAATCGCACGCGCGCGGGGGCGGGGAGGAGTACCATAAACAAACCTATGGGTCACGAAAACAACAGGTCGATTACCGATGCCAGCATCAACAAGCTTCTCTAACAGCATGGAGCTGACTTCCTGTACAAGTTCAATATGGAAGTGTGTTAAACAGTGTCTGCAGAAAATAGCATTTATAAAAAAAAATATGCAACAAGCAAAGAAACTACAGAAATCAAAAAATAAATAAAAGATCTAAACAAGATCTTTTTCGCTTACGAACTGTGGATAAGAGCAGTTAATTAAACATCACAAAATAAAACAACAGTATCTGAACTTCAATTTGTCTTCATGCTCAAACAATAGGCTACCTATCCTTATCTTCTTATTATACGATAAATGGAAAAGGATAGACTCAAAATGCAGACATCAACTAATCAAACTGAAATAGAAAAAAGTTTATAACAGGGCCATAGAGGGATGGGTATAAAAAGAAAGCAAAGGTAACTTTTTTTTTTTTTTTTTCCTAGTTGGTACTCACACACACGTCTCTTCTAAGACTTGAACCCCTGGCCTCCCTTTGGGAAGTAAGAGGCTAATACCGCTAGGCCACTGGCCCATTGGTAAGCAAAGGTACTTATTGCCTATGTTAACATAATAAATCATAGCAAACTTGTGAAGCGAAGTTGTGTTCACCAGGAGATTAATTGTAAAAAGAAATAATTTCCAGTTAAAATTGACCACTACCAGGGATTGACACGAGACCCTACACAAATTGTGTTAACTGGGACTGGATTGAAAAAAACAAAACAGACATCAATTGGACATGCTACATGTTTTATAGGACAATTAATTTGGCAGCACTATATTGAGAGTGGGTCATTTTATTCTTTAAAATATATATTTTGAAAGAACAGGATGAAGGATTAATTTTGTGGTTAGAATTGTGAAGATGCTCTAATACAAAAATAAAAAATAAAAATAAATAAATAAATAAGCAGGACCATTGTTAAACTAGGAAAACAGTCAATGGACTAACTAAAATTAATGACCAAGAGGTAAGCAAGTGAGCATGTTTTCCTCACTAGGTTCAATTACCACTGGGGACATTTTTTTTTTTACATTTGAACTCTTGTACTGTTTTGGGGGAAGAAAACGGAAAGAGATTTTACTGATGTGTTCTTTAACCTGGAGCAAATAGCATTTCAACGTCTCACTCTCTAATCAATGCTCTTTTTTTTGGAAACTTCTTGCTGCCGAAGTACCGAGAGTAGGCACTGACCTTGATCAGGCCAAGCAACTTAAGTACACGAGCTGAGCTTGAACACAGTATGGTAAATTTCAGCAGACTTCAGACCAAGCTCAAACATATCTTCACAATAGTCAACCCAAGCTTGCAAACTTTCAAATGTGTTTGTCTTGGCTCACTTACACCCCTAATAATCAGTAAAGAGGGATGCATAAATAATAAATGTTTTGCAAACAGGCAGGGGGCGATTGATGAAATAGATTGACATTTGTAGAATAGTAAAATTAAAAACACACAATACCAGTTAAATAGAAAAAGAATAGCAGTAATAAGTATAACTTCAGCCATGATTCACAGCACACGATGTTGGGAAAGGACAAATATATTTAATATATGAGCACGGTTAAACTGAATTGTAGAAACGAATTAGGTTGTAAAGAAGAAAGAGCAAGTTAATTGGCAGTGAGTTAACAATGAAAAGACATGACATAGCTAATTGACATAACCATATGCACAAGGATGGCCCACAACTGCGATGAACTGCTAAAGGTGGAAGGATAATGTGAAGATTGAGAGTTCAGATGGTAAAAAGACATGCACCCTCCCAATTTAAAAGAAAATATAGCCCGAGGTGTGAGCAAACTAATTCCTTTAGCAGAAGCGGGTAGTGCTCAAATCAATTCGACTGAACATTCCTCAACTAAATCAGAATATTCAACAACTGCCACTATGGAAAGTAACAATAAAATAATAATAATAAATAAAGAATTTCTATGAGATCCCCCAGATAAAAATTGTTGGAATATTTGACTTATTATTCTTTCTGTAAATAGGCTGTACAGATATGATTGTAATTTAGATCCTAATTTTTAGCTCGTAATTTAGGAGAGTAACGAGAGTTACCTAGTTTAGCCAAACGTAGGTCTACTATTTTATTTATATATATCTGTGTAATTCTTCTATAATAAAGCAGTGTGGATCATTCTTCACAAATTTACATGGTATCAGAGCCTATTTAGGTTCTTCGGGAGTTTTTCCGGCGGCCTTAATTGCTGTCAGTTCTTTCACAGCCTTCATTGTCGTCAGTTTTTCTACGGCCTTCATAACCATTCTCATCTTCCTTCTTTGCGGTCTTTAACGCGCCGTTTGTGACTGCTTAATATTTTTTTTCAGAGTGTCCATTGTCAATCTGTTCAATTATGTCGTCAAAGACCGTGGGGTTTGTGACTGTTGAAAAAAAAAATTCAGACAGTCCATTGTCAATCTATCCGATTATGTCGTCCTCCAACAACCAGGCCTCCATTCACACTGAAAACCCAACCATGCGGATCTCCACTTCCAAGTTAAATGGAAGAAACTTTATGGAGTGGTCCCAATCGGCCAATATTTCCCTGAGAAGCAAAGGGAAAATTAAGTATGTAACTGGATCTGCAAAGCCTCTAGCAAAAGATGATCCAACGTATGAAAACTGGGAGGCCGAGAATTCCATGGTTGTCTTGGCTACTCCATTCAATGCAACCAGAGATCAGCAAGACATATCTACTCCTACCCACTACCAAGGATATTTTGGAAGCAGTCACAAGAACCTACTCCAAGGGAGGTTTTGCCTCTCAAACATTTTGAACTAAAGCGGCAGATTATCAGAACTCAGAAAGGCTCTTCAACTGTCACAGAGTATTATAATGCTCTTAAAGGGATGTTGACGAACTGGATCTCTATCAAAATGTTGAGATGGAATCAACTGCAGATACGAAGAAGATGAAAAACATGCTAGAAAAGGAGCGGGTATTTCAGTTTTTCGTGGGCCTAAATCCTGAATTCGATCAGGCGTGTGGCCAAGTGTTGGGTAAAGATCCGTTTCCCGACCTTGATGAAGCTTTCGATCATATCCGAGGGGAAGAGAGTCGTAAGGAGCTAATGGGTGGTAATTCTGGAGGAGATCCTAATACCGAGAATTCAGCACTTGTGGTGTCCAAACCAGGCTATAATGCAGGAGATAGAAAGAAACCAATAGACAGAGAAGATGTGGAATGTGGTGCGACCACTGCCACAAGTCTAGACACACTAGGGCGATGTGTTGGAAGTTACATGAGAAACCTCAAAACCTGAAAAGTCTTGGCAGCAAAGGAGGGAATTATGCAACAAAACCGGGGCAGGCCAATCAAACCACCATAGTGGAAACAAATCAGGAGATGTTGGGGTTAAACAAAACTGATATCGAAAGGCTTAGGACACTGCCAAACCAACTTGAGGACAGAAACGCAACCTCAACTCCAAGTTCAGGTTCTTGTTCCATGGTTCAATCAGGTACAAAAGCATTAATTTCCTCCAGCAATTATTCTAACACCTGGATCATAGATTCAGGTGCTTCAGACCATATGACAAGCAATTCACTTAATTTTTTTAGTTACTTACCATGCTTAGGAAAACAGAAAATAAAAGTAGCTGATGGCTCATTATCATTTGTAGCCGGTCAAGAAACTGTGAAAATTTCACCCACCTTGTCCTTAAATTCGGTTCTTCGTGTCCCAAACTAGAATTACAATCTGTTATCTATTGGAAAGATCACGAAGGATTTGAATTGTGCTGTTAAGTTCACACCCTCTGGTTGTTATTTTCAAGACCGTTCGGGGAAGACGATTAAACATGGTAAGCTGAGAGATGGACTTTACTACTTGGAGACCGAGTGGAGGAGTGATAGTCAAGGGTCTCAAGGCTTGGTTTCAGCTCACAAAACCAATTTTTGATCAGACTTTCCTTTGGCACAACCGCTTAGGACATCCACCATTTCTGCTGTTGAAAAAGTTGTTTCCTACTTTGTTTGAAAATAATGATGTTAGTAATTTTCATTGTGAGTCATGTACTCTTGCTAAACATCATCGAGTGAATTTTCCAATAAAAGAATTGCAATTTGTCTCTTCATTTAGTTTAATTCATTCGGATGTTTGGGGTCCCTCTCGTGTCACCAATATTTCAGGAACTCGCTGGTTCGTTACTTTTATAGATGATTGCACTCGAACCACTTGGGTATACCTAATGAAATCCAAGTCTGAAGTCTCATCCATTTTCCCTGTTTTCCACAAATTTATCAACACTCAGTTTGGGGCCAAAATTCAAACACTCGGGTCCGATAATGGCAAGGAGTACTTCAACCAAGGATTAACAAGCTACTTGGAACGTGAGGGTATTTTGCACCATTCATCATTCGTTGACACCCCCAAGCAAAACAGGGTGGCTGAAAGGAAAAATAGGCATCTATTGGAAGTAGCTCATGCTCTCTTGTTCCAAATGAACATGCCTACAAACTACTGGGGGAAGTAATCCTAACAGCCACATATCTTATAAACAGGATGCCAACAAAAGTTCTTGAATTCTAGACACCAATCAAAAAGCTCATTGCCTTATTTCCAAATTTCCAAGGAGTTGGCTCTTTATCACCAACAGTCTTCGGTTGTGTCTCATATGTACATGTCCAACAACACTTCCGAAGCAAATTGGATCCTAGATCTGTCAAGTGTATATTCTTAGGGTACTCCTCCACACAAAAAGGATACAAGTGCTATTATTCCCCTACAAGGAAAACATATATCACTATGGTGTGTCATTTGTCAAAAATCAGCCTTACTTTGGGAATTCCTATCTTCAGGGGGAGAATGGTTCGGAAATGGAAGATTGGTGGTGGAATTTGGAAAATTCAAAAACTATGGACGCTGGAGGAACGGATGGAAAGATTGTTGTAGACAAAAATAACTAAGTTGCTGAAGTTACGGAAGGTGCCGAAGAGAATGACAATGGCCCTAACCTGAGTGTTACTCCTAATTCACTTCCTAGTGAACCGCTAACTGCACCTCTAGATAGTCCTCCCAGTCTCCCCACAAATGAAGAAGCAGAAGCCAAGAGACCTAAGACTCCCACTTACAACGTGTACTCCAGGAGGAAAAAGTCCATCATTACCTCACCAACTGCAATTGTCAGCCTTGAAACAGGTAATGAAAATAATCCAAATGAAGGTTCTAGCTCAAAAATTCATTCTAATAATGACCTCGATCTGCCCATTGCTCTTAGAGAAGGGGTTCAAACTTGTATTTGACACCCCATGTCACTTTATATCCATGCAGAATTTATCCCCACAATACCGAACCTTTCTTTCTCAAGTTCTGTCTCAGCAAGTTCCCTCATCTATCCAAGAAGCTTTAACCTCAAAACCATGGAGGGAGGCCATGAATGAGGAGATGAGAGTGCTGAAAAAAAAAAAATCAGACATGGGAAGTTGTTGATTTACCGGAAGGGTAAAAGACAGTGGGCTGCAAATGGATTTTTACAGTCAAATGCAAAGATGATGGCACTTTGGACAGATACAAGGCGAGGCTAGTGACCAAAGGGTACGCTCAAACTTATGGAATAGACTACCACGAGACGTTTGCACCGGTGGCGAAAAAGAATACAATTAGAGTTCTTCTATCTTTGCCAGCAAATAAGGTTTGGCCTCTACATCAGTTTGATGTGAAGAATGCTTTCCTCCATGGAGAATTAGAAGAAGAAGTCTATATGGATATTCCACCGGGGTATGAGCCGAAATCAAGGAAAAATAAGGTACGCAACTTTAAAAAATCCCTCTATGGCCTTAAGCAGTCTCCACGGGCTTGGTTTGGGAAGTTCACTAAGTCAATGTTTAAAAGGGGGTACTTTCAAAGTCAGGGTGATCACACCATATTCATAAAAAGGTCCTCCATTGGAAGAGTCACTGCCTTAATTGTATATGTAGATGACATTATTGTCACGGGTGATGACGTTGAAGAAATGATGGCATTGAAGATTTATTTAGCAAAAGAATTCGAGATCAAAGACTTGGGAAAACTAAGATATTTTCTTGGAATTGAAGTTGCTAGATCTAAGCAGGGGATCTTCATTTCTCAACAAAAATCACCCAAGATCTTCTTCAAGAAACAGGTATGCTTGGCTGCAAACCCAATGACACTCCGATAGAACCCAACCACAAGTTAGGAGGAAAAAGGAAGAAGAAATGGTTGATCGTGGAATGTACCAAGGCCAGACACATACAAGGCCGGACATAGCCTATGCAGTAAGTGTAGTGAGTCAGTTTCAGTGTTATTAAAAGCTCAAGGCGCACCAAGGCGCTAGAGGTCCTTTGCCTAGGCGCGTGGTGTACAATTGGAAATTTAAACTACCATAAAAACATTCATATCTCATAAGTCATATCAATATTCTAAAAATTAATATCAAATATAAAAAAGTAAATCCATCAATTATACAAGCATCCAAGAACCATAAAACAGTGCGCAAGTTTGTTTTCTTGAAAGACAAAACATAATTTGTTTTTTGAAATGCAAAAGAGAGCACAAAAAGACATAAATCTTTTAACAAATAAATAAATAAATAGATTGTTAACAAGAAAAGAAAAGAAAAAACAGAGCCAAAAAAAAAAAAAAACGAAGTGACAGAAGAAGTAGATGAAGAGAGAGAAAGTTCTAAAGAAGAAAAGGAGAAAAAAAACAGAGCCCAAAAGAAAAAAAGAAAACAAAAAACAGAGAGATAAGAGAACTAAACGAAGAGCGAGATGTAAACAAAGATGAGAAGAGAGGAGTGAAGGAGAAGAGAGAAGTAGAGAAGAAAACTGACGTGGCTTTGCCGTTCGTCTCACATTCTCACTCTTTCTCTGTTCAATTGACACCTTGACTCTTGGGCTTTCTTATTTGTTTATTCTTTTAAACAAAAATTCCTTCTCTCGTACACTTGGGCTTTCTTATTTGTTTATTAAGTTGCCAAAAATACCCTTTTTGGCTTAAGAAATAGAATAATCATTTAAAAAAAATATCAATGAGGCGCGCCTGATAAACAAGACGAAGCGCAACCGAGGCGCGTGCCTAGTAAACATCAATGCGCTTGGGATGACAACAAGCCCTAGACCTGCGCCGCGAACAACACTGGTCAATTTATGCATGCCCCACTTAGATCACACCTCGATGCAGTTTATAGAATCATCAGATACTTGAAAGGGACGTCTGGCAAGGGACTCTTATTTCGGAAAGATAAGGAGCTGAAATTAGAAGCATATACCGATGCCGATTGGGCTGGATCCATGGTTGATAAGCGGTCAACTACTGGCTACTGTACCTTCTTAGGAGGGAATTTAGTTACGCAGAGAAGTAAGAAACAACCAGTGGTTGCTCGCTGTAGTGCAGAGGCAGAATTCAGAGCTATGGCTCAAGGGATATGCGAACTAATCTGGCTGAAAATGATACTCTCAGATTTGAGGGTAGAAGTGAAGGACCCAATGATGTTATACTGTGATAATAAAACAGCTATAAATATAGCTCATAATAAAGTACATCACGACCGGACCAAACATGTGGAAGTGGATAGAAATTTCATCAAGGAAAAATTGGACTTAGGACAAGTTTGAACTCCATACGTTCCATCCTCTAAACAGATTGCTGATGTGCTCACTAAAGGATTATCTAGCACAATTTTTCATTAGATTGTTGACAAACTTGGGATGCAAAATATCTTTTCACCAGCTTGAGGGGGAGTGTTGGAATAGTTGACTTATTGTTCTTTCTGTAAATAGGTTGTACAGATATGATTGTAATTTAGATCCTAATTTAGCTCGTAATTTAGGAGTAAGGAGAGTTACCTAGTTTAGCCTAACGTAGGTCTACTCTTGTATTTATATATATCTGTGTAATTCTTCTATACTAAAGCAGTGTGGTTCACTCTTCACAAATTGACATAAATATATTAGGTCAACAGAATTTAGCTTGGCTATTTCTGTACAAAATAGAGTCGGTATGTTTTGTTTTAGCACTCGATTATCATATCAAAAGTTAGCTAGGTTAGTTAGTTGAGTTACCTCTGTCCAAGCGGGAATTCAAAGCTTCAATCATGGGCAAAAAGGTAGATACAACTTGCAAGCTATGCACCCACCAACATTAGGGTTCCATATGCATTCATCTATTTTATTAAACATGTTAAAAGAGTTTTCAAATTATATTGTTTCAATCCATATAAATATGTTCTAATCCATTATGCTTGAAACTATTTGGAAACTCAAAACCCAATTGGACAAGGACAAGGAGTTCGATCAACCGAAATCTGCGGGAAGATATGCTCCAAATATAACTCAAACCCTCTAAATCCTAATCCTTCCATCCCTCAAAGTATATATAAAGACACTATGTTTACAGAAAAAGTCAGACAAGCACATGCAAGCATATGTAAAACATTATTCAAAGCAATGTGATACAATTTTAGAGTGTATACTAGCAATTGAATTACTATGTTTTGTATCTTTCATTTATCATCCATTCATATAGATGGTGAATATGTTTTCAGTGTTTTATCAATTGGATTTGAGAGCTCTAAAATATTTCAACACTGCAAGCAATTCTCACACTAAAAGGATCAAATGTTATAGTCATCATGGATATCAAAACACTAAAGGAGGAGCAACCCACGTGAGGAACGAGTTCACTGACTGTCAGCAGTAGAGATCGAGGAGAATCATCTAGTTTGAGTTTGGATCATAAGTAGCTAAAATTCTTGAGTTAGATTCCAATAACAGAGTTATAAGCCTTTCTTCACATAGTGGATTTTATCTGCCTGTACTACAATTTTTCAGGCTGGGGATCTCCATATATAAATCTTGTGTTCATGTGTGGATGTTTTTATGCTTTATATTCTCCATGCTATTTTTTTTTTTTTTTTTTTTTTACACACTTTACAAAATTTAATTGAAGTTATTTTTTGTTACTTAATTTTTGATAAGTTGTTAAAGTTGGTTTTAATATTGAATTTTTGTTAGAAGTAGTTGAATAGCTCTCAAGACCAATCCAACCCCCACTTCTTTACTAGATTTAGCTTGGGCCACTCTAACATCAGAGCTGCCTATGGTTATGATCCTTATTCTACAAAATAAAATACAAAAATAAAATCTTGAAAACAACTGCATACTGTTTTAGTTACAAACAAGACAGCTAAAGTAAACTATATATATATATAGATGTAAATAAAAGGATGAAAAAAAAATCTATAGGTATACATGCATATAAAATATATGGACAACTAATCATTACTTGCTAATATTTTATCATGTGTGTTTAACAATAACTACCCAATTCACGTTTACTAGCACTAAAAGAACAATTATAGAATTGGCAAAGAAACCATGTCCCAGTAATCCAAAATCAAAATCTCTCAGGTTCACTGTGTGTGTGTGTGTGTGTGTGCACACGCTTGTGTGTTTGTGTGCGCATTTGTAAATATACCAATATATATTTTGTAAGCATATATTTATGATTTAAAACCTCTTATACATATGGTTAATAAATCAGTGGCAATTTTAACTCCTCAAAAGAATACCATATCATGCATTAATAACCCAAATAGCATGCCTTATGATGTTTCTTACTTGTCAATAAAACATTACAAACCTGAAGAGGCAAACTAGCTCCAGACCACTGTGTAAGATTACTCTGCATCAGCATTCAATCAGAGGTAAGAGATCATCATGAAAATTTTAACTACAAAACATGCGCAAGTAGAACGCAAAAGAACTCCAATGTGTTCAAGGAACTAATTTACATAAAAATAAAAATAAAAATAAAAAGGAAATCTGGATGTTCTAGAACTTTTTGAATTACAACAAGACCAGAAGCACCAAATCTATGACAAACCTTGTACTTTATAGAGAACAAGCGGGCACGAGGGAAATCAGCTGAAAGCCATTCTCCAGGCCAGAATGTACCTTGCTTCCCTGCCTCCTCATCAATCTTCTCTACAAGACCAGACTTAGTTGATTCCTTGTCCTCGGCTAAGCGCCATGTCTTAAAAGGCCCACCACGCAGGCCATGAACAAAGACAACATCCAGTAAAGGAACTTCAGACTGTGAACAACTCTCAGATCTATGCGTACAAGCACACAAGTTTTTACCATTTCCATCACTGGTTGCAGATATATCCTCATTCTCAACAGAATCATCATCACTAGGTGATGATTTATCAACAGAGTTTGGCTTCTTTGTTGGCATTCTAAAATCAGTGTCAGCATTTATTTTTGCAGGACACTTCCAATGTGAAAGTTCGGGATTAATTAAAAATATCATGTCAGCAAAATAAGGGCAACTACGGTTTTGGTTCACAAGGTCAGTATCATGAATATTATCATTTCCAGAGCTCAGGTCAAATTGGTCATTGCAAAACACATTCAGCAGTGTTGCTCTGGCATAACTTTGAATTTTAGCATCATTGCAACCTTGGATCCTCCCATTAGCACAATCCTCAAGCCATTTACACCATGTATCATCTGCTACAATCATTTTTTGAACCTTTGGGAGGACTGAAAGAATAGTTAGCAACCGAGCTGCATGCCTTCTAATGTGACCAGTAGGTGGAACTCGGACGCTAGACGGATCATTAGTATCTACAACAGAAGATTTACCAGGAACACTAGTGACCCGCTCTTGTGACTCTAGTGCTCTTGATGCATCATATGCTTCGTTTGCAGCCAATTGCTCATAATCATCTCGCAACAAAAAACGCCTCAGCAAACACAGAACCCCAAAATCAGCTATTTTGTTTTGACATAGAGAATCTTCAGCACAGACTTCTGTCAGTGCTTTGATACCTTTAAGGGTAGCCAATGCAGAATCCGCAGCATCAATTTTAGGCAGATTATCTTTCTTCAGGTTTTTGAATGGTCCAGCAAAGGGTTCAAGAGCAAGAAGATCTGCTAGAGGGTATGCATCAGCACTATCAGTGGGTGCTCCCAGCTGATTTACTGCTAGATTAACTACAGCACTCGCCAACAGATTAGCAGTCTGTGCAGCAGAAAGTATATTTGTTTGATCTACTTTCGTCTGCAAATATTAAGTAGCTTCATGAATAACATCACAGATATCTGAGTAGATAGTATATATAGTTCTCAACATAACTGTTAATAGCATTAGACTACAATTACTTTAATCGGTTAGCATCTGTATGCAACATTATTAACTTTTACAAGGAAAACAGAGGAAAAAGTATATCCAGACCTTCACTTTGTCATTTTTAGGTTGAGTTCCTTTGGTTGATGTTGTCTTCAGAATATCAGAAAGTAAAATAGCCAGCCATCCTTGGGAAATTGGTATGGAAGATGGCCCATGGTCTTCAAGAATGCGTGAAAGGATTTTTATAGCTGAAGATCGTATAGCATCAGAGGAGAATTTTCCAAATATCCAATGAAGCAAAATACCTGACCACTTTTGACTTTCTTCAAAAGATAAATGCATGTCCCCGGTAGAGAGCGATTCTAAGGCCTTTGCTAATGCTTCTTGCACATTCTTATGCTTTGTCATTCTTTTAGCAGTTTCTCTCATCAGATTAAGGCCCTTCTCCATTATGACCTTCTTTGCCACAGGGCATCTCTCAATAGAAACTAAAAATGCAGACAAAGCCACCTGAGTCAAAGGGATGTCTTCTGTCTTACTTGCTTGAGAAACGGTAGAAAGAAGACTGGAACTCCAATCAGAAACAGAATCATTTAAGGGTAAACTGTGGTCCTCTAACAGCAACCGAGCCACCAAACTCCCATGCCATTTCACAGATCTCTCAGGTGCCATTAAAGCAGTCATGACAGCACAACCATCCTGATCTAGTTCATTAATATGAGATCTATTCGCCTCTGATGCCATTGCCCAATTTGCTAATGCCCATGTCGCAAAAGGTACTGCAACATGTTGACAATGCAAATCATCCCAAAGTCCAGGAACAACATCCGGTGCTTGCGGAGTATTATTTATTTTGTTAAACAAAAGGTTTTTAGGAGTATATTTAACTGAATCTGAGTCATTGACACCAGAAGACTCCAATTCCATCATTCCGTTAGTTCGTGAAAGCCCTACAACTGTTGTACCTCCAAGAATTTTTATTCCAATCCCCCTCATTCCTTTCCCACCATTTTCATCATCCTCAGCTCCATGTGACTCATCCAAATGCATCCCACCTTCCTCAATGACTTGAATGGCTGCTGCGATATCTCTCATTTCAGCATGTTCTGGCAGTAATGGTTTAAATGATACCTTGTCTAAGCTCTCAGTGACGATGTCCATGATAGCAGCGACAAGCATGCTTCTACCTTTCAAAGAATCAGAAACATCGAATGAACTACGTCTTGGTTGCTGCTTCCACAGAAATACAATAAATCAATGGCAAAAAAAAGAATTCAAAAGCATCACAAAAATCATTTGCACAAATTCTAGGGGATCCATTTATAAGGCCAGCATAATCCAATTAGACCGTTGAAGAAACAAAAAAGGAGCTATTCTGTTACTAAATGAAACCACATTAACAAATAGAAAACACCAATCCATTTGATATAGCTACAGACTGCAAATATCTTAAATGCATAATGTTCTAGACAGATAGAATATTACTTTTGGTTTTTTGTTTTGATGCTATTGATATAAATTGTGTACTGAGATGACAATCAGCTCTATTGACTACAATTGTATTGCCAAAACACAATCAAAGACCAAAAACTTCATCTAAGCATCAATTGTTTTATTGCAATCCATGCCATGAAAATATATATATATATCATGACTTCATGAGAAAATATTGATTTCCATTATAGAGTTACACACACTCTCTCTCTCTCTGATTATTGTAAAGATATAGTTTTTCAAAGTAGCAAAGACACAGAAGCTAACAGGGGAAAAAAGAAAAAAAAAATAATAATAAGAGCTCACGGAGCAAGAATACAATATGATACGGATATGAGAACACGACAAATCTTTAAAAAGAAAAAAAAAAAAAATTTATATATATATATGTAGAGGGTATACATGACAATACATAAATTTTAGTTTCAGAATTTTTTTTAGAAAAGTTTGTTTTAGAATTTTAATTAATTTTCTAATTTTTACACTAAAAATCATATAATGTGGACGATAATGCAAATGTTACTCCCCTATTACATCATTCCATTGTATTTATTTTCTTGTGCTATATTAGAAGTTTTCTTTACAAGCTTTACTTAGATTTGCTTAAATAAAAGGAAGGTTGGATACTTCAAGAATGTTTTCACCTTGTTTTTACGAGGATGAGACTGCTTACACCTTATTAGTAAAAGTGTTCTGGCATCACTCATTCATGAGTGAGATTACACTTCATATTGTTAACCAAGAAGTTTGTTTTAACACTTTAGGATGTGCCAGCCAAGTCCAAAACAACAAATGATTTTATAATTATGGACACAATCACGACATGTGGGACATGAGTCATCAGTGCCTACACAGTATCAATGTCCGAACACATTTGAAATGGACATGACACCTTCTGTACTTATTAGCTTTCTCTTTGCCTCAAACTAATTCCATGAACGAGCTTCATTGTGAAAGGATGTTATTTTTCCTTCAGTTTTGACACTGTAAGCTTCATTGTAAAAGATTCATCACAATGAACCAAGCCTCACAGTAATTCAACAACATTTTACAATTTTCAGTTCAAACCAACAAAACCTAACTAAAATTTCACTAAATTCAATGAATTCAACAATTGGGGGTACGACATTAAACTACAACATAAGAATTAATCACGTATATCTTAAACAGTGATTGCAACATGATTGCTAAATTTGTTACTTATTTAAAACTTAATTAACCACGAGACGAGAAAATTGAAAGAAATACTCACCTTTTTTGTTTTCTGAGGCTGAGTAGTGAAAATAAACCTGAGAAGGTTGGGAACAGCGTGAGGCCTCCCAAGAATCATTTCACACACATTCGGATCAGCAATCAAGTAAGCCAATGCCCTCGCAGCCTCCGCCTGTGTCCCACAATTGTCCCCCGAGGTAGCCACCGTCTCGAGAAGCCAATCCAACACCGCACCGCCACCAGCACCTACTATCGCCGCCCTCCGGCTCGCATTGGCGGCCGCAATGTCCGCGAGAAGCGCCGCAACCCTAAGCTCGAACCCGGACCGAACCCCGTGGTTCGCCGAAGAAAGCACCGACCTCAACGACTGCCACAACACAGAGGCCGCGACTCCGGTCTGCTTCATCCGGTTGACTATCTTCTTGAAACTCTCATTGTACCGTTCAATTGCGTGATCGAGATCGTCATAAATACGATACGATCTTGGTTTCGATTCGTCGTTGGGGTTCGTTGAAATTAGGGCGTAAGAGGCGACGATGGCGGAGATTAGGGTTGCGGAGATGGCGAGGGCAGAGCTGCGAGAGAGAGAAGAAGAAGGGAGAAGAGAGAGAGAGGTGGGGTGGTGGTGGAGGATTGGCGGTGAAGGGACACGTTGGGGATTGTTGAGATCCTTTGGGCATTGGACGGAATTTACTTCGGGGTGGCGTCGTGGTGAGGCTGAAGAAGAAGGCGGAGATGAGAAGGTACGGCGGAGGAGAGAGAAGCGAATACAACGACGTGTTCTGTTACAGAGACGAAGCATAATTTGTGACAAAATGTGATTTTTGTTTTTTGGCGGTTTGAGAGATGGAAAGAGGAGGAAGAAGAAAGTTACTTGTAGAGAGAGAGAGAGAGAGAGAGAGAGATTGTAAGAATCGCGAGGGAATTGCTTTGAGAAGATGCGAATTTGCGCGAGAGCGATAGTAGTTATTGAATTTTGTCCAAACGCGTTCTTAAGAGGGCTGGGCTGGGCTGGCTGATTGAAAACGAGTGTTTTTTAGAGAGGTTTTATTAAACAATTTCTAGAAAATTGAATCAGAGATTTTGTAAAATTTTGTGTTTTGTCTTAAAATTACCAAGTAGGCCCTTAATAACTCAATTCATGTATAATTTTTTGGGCATTGCCCAATATTCTATTTGATAGAGCATCTAACTCTTTAAATTAATATGTCCGTATTCGAGTGGGTAGATATACATTGCAATAGACTTCAAAGGTGTGAGCACGTGGCTAGATGTAATGAGGGTCATTTGTCCCACATCGAATCCAGATGGGAAAATGATTGAGTATAAATGGGTGGGTATGCAGTATTACTCAACAGTTTGAGTTTTTGGATAAATGAGTAAGCGTTCATCCGTTACAATTGGTATCAAAACCAGACATAATCCTTGATCCGGTGTCACGCCAAGTGCCCGACCCCGAAGGCATCCGGGTGAGCCAGCCCGAGTAGGCAGGGTGACTAGAGCCGCAACGAGGGTGTTTCGGTTTGGGTGCGAAAAAATGTAACAAGGGCCATTTGTTCCATATCAAATCCGGATGAGAAAGTGATTGGGTATAAATTGGTGGGTTCGTATGCAATACTACCCAACAGCTTGAGTTTTTTGGTAAATAAGCAAGCGCCCACCTATTATACTAGGGTTAGTGAATTTACGTTGCAATGGACTTTAAAGGTGTGGGTTTATGGCTAAGGTTAGGTATGCATTGCAATGAGACTTTATGATTTTATGGGACAGTCATATTTTTTGGGTTAAAGTTGATTTTTTAATCTTAAAATTTCTTATATTTCAGTACTATCAAACACCACCCTAAAAGTATATGCTATGAGAGAACCACCATTAATATGTGCTTTTTATTTTAATTTTTAAGAAAATAAAAGTGTTGGTCCCCATCTTTAAATTAGGGTTTGCCCTTTTTAATGTCAAAAAGTATGGGTGCACAAAAGAACCGGAACCGTTTTTTCTGATTCTCACTATTCCGGTTCTGGCTTGGGTTTCGAATTTAAGAACCGTGGACATACGGTTCCGGTTCTGGTTCCAGCCCGTGGGAACCGGTAAGAACTGAAACCGTATATACATATATATATATATATATATATATATATATATATATATATATATATGTATTATATATTTAATTTTATACTAAAAAACGAAGTAAAGATAAGTCGCTGGACCTGAAAAAAACCATATTTTTTTAGTTTTTTGCCCTAAATGTCTCACTCTCTCAGTCTCTCCAGTCGCCTCCTCTTAAATTCTCAATCTCTTATGATCTCATCTTAGGATTTGACAAAGTGACGAATGCCCAAGTAGATCTGCTCTCAGTGGTTCCGTCTTTGTTTTCGAGGTTCGATGCGGTGATTAAACTCGCTCTGAAATGCGATCACAGATCTGCGAGCATCGGCGACGAAGCTCTCAAGCTCATCTCTTTCCGATATCGAAACCTAACCCGTCTAAAGCTCTGTGTTTACAGAGAGTTGACCGACGCTGGCATGTTGGTCATTTGAGGACATCATTATCGACGCTCCTGATCTCCCCGACTACATCTCCAACCTTCCCGACGAGTGCTTAGCTTCCATATTCCAGTCGTTTGGCTCCGGTTATCGAAAACGATGCTCTCTTGTCTATCACCGGTGGTTTCAGATCGAGGGACAGAGTCGTCACCGTTTCTCTCTCAACGCCCAAGCCGATCTACTCTCGGTGGTTCCGTTTCTGTTTTCGAGGTTCGATGCGGTGACTAAACTCGCTCTGAAATGCGATCGCAGATCTGCGAGCATCGACGACGAAGCTCTCAAGCTCATCTCTTTCCAATGCCGAAACCTAACACTTCTGAAGCTCCGTACTTGTCGAGAGTTAATGGTTCCATACTATACAGTTCCGGTTCCATTTTTAAGGAACCCTTGTGAACGGTTCCAGTTCCGGTACTAACCGGAACTGTGAGAACCGGAACCGTGTGCACCTCTATCAAAAAGCTGTCGCAGGTCCATATATGTGAGTTTCAAGTGGCTTTGGTATACTCAGTTCATTACATAGGCTTATAAGGGTAGCATTGTCATTTTACATTCATGAGATATCACTTGAGATAGCTTAAGGAAGCTATATTGTATTGACATTGCTCATTACAGTCAAATTAGGGCTTACAGGTGTGGTTCAGAAGGTGTTATTTGGCTACAATCATTCAGGGGCAATTAAGACTTTGCACACATGCATTCTATCATTATACATTTGTGTGAGATACTGCATTGTATTGCATTGCTCTAAAATACACTTTGATCAAGTATTCATAGATGCAATATATTGAAAGTGTCCCTTGCAGGGGTATTTTGGTCATTACAAATGAAGATCAAATATGTGACATGTGTCATGTGGTCCTAGTGTGAGAAAATGAGGCTTGTTATGCATTGCTTAGTGGTTACGCTTAATATATATTCCTGTGTATCTATATATGCAAGCTATCAAAAGGCAAGCTCACTAGAGGACAAATATGCAAGGTGGCAGTGGCATTATAGTCCTTTGCTGAAGGAATATGTGATACACCCGAATTACCACGGGTAGGTTGGACAGGCCCACACCCGAAAAACACGGGGGTATCAAAACAATTAGGCAATAATCGAAGACAGAATACAAAAAGGAATAAAATAGAATAAATAATAACTCTTAAAGAAAACTAAATTAATAAATATAACAATTTCTGATACAAAATTTCCATATAATAAATAATGAATCTCCAATATACAACTCGGGAATTCGCATATCATGGACCCCTAATAAATCTCAAACTGAAAATAAACAAATGTCTAATAAACTGAAATAACTAATCAGAAGATAGAACCTTACATCGATGACACCGGAAGAGTGATGATGATTGATCTCTAAACCACACGAACAAGCTATACATCTGGAACCGACAAAGACCTGAAAAATATAACAAAGACCTGAATAAGTCCTTTATACGACAATCCAAACAGAGACCTCAAAAACTACACATCTATAGCTAACTCATGCAATAGCTACATAATCGATAAGTATATAAATATACACACTAAAGACTCTCACTGAATCAAGGCAGACTCAATCGTGTAGTGAGTATCTCATGCAAATCGCATACAAAAGTGGTCACGAGTCCTCCTTCTACCATGGCATACACATCCCTAAATCCACCCATCTTAACTAGTAATATACGTCTCCATCTTAACCATTGATCATGAGACCTCGAGGTCATATCATGGTACACATAATATCACTAGAGATATAACTAACCATATCGTAACAATGGTGTACTAAAACAATAATCAAACCCATATCCTAACAATGGGTTGAAAATTATATAAAAATATATAATAGTCATATCCTAATAATGGTATGTCATCCATATCCTGACAATGGCATGACATAGAACCAAATCTTGACATTGGTACACTAACACAACTGACCATACCCACATCCTAACAATGGGTTGGAAAACATCTATAAAAATATATAATAACCATATTCTAACAATGGCATGTCATCCATATCCTGACAATAGCATGACATAGAACCACATTCTGACAATGGTCCTCAAATAATCCAAACATATATATATCATGTTTAAGATTATACAATACAGATATGCAATTGATTAAAATCATATCATATCATAACAATAAATAACATATAATTTCATATTACTTGGTGTGTGTCGAGGCAACAAGCAAAAGGTGTAGTGTGGCCAAGTTTAAATTTATGAAATGCCACTACCACTTTTAACTAAAAATATAGTTAGGGAGAGTAGGGATCGTCCCAAGGGATTGGAAGCGTACTTTTACTTGGAAACAAGGTCTGATTAGTAGGTCGAATGATCAAAATGTGGTTTGATTGGTTAATTAAACTACAATTTTGACTAAGTGGATGCAAGGTAAAGCAATTGAAATAACTAAATTAAGAAAGTGTAAAGAATAAGAGATGGATCTTGGGACCTAGAAGTCACTACTAAACATCACCTTCCTAGACACTCAATGTGTAATGAATGAGGGGGATTATGTGTTACAATACTAGTGTGTGTCATTAATTGAATCAACAAGTATGTATGACTAATTAAGTATACATTGTCTAAACAAACTAATGAATAGCACAACATATCAAATTAAGCCATTATTCTTTCCCTAAGTCCACAATCAATACACATCATTAAAATTAGAGAAATATATTACTTGCATTCATAAGTATGGAACATCAAACAACAAGCATGGATTGTCCTCCCATCTAATAAAGTAAACCAACTACACTACAACTAAGTTAGGGACATGAAAATTAAACTAAGTAAACTAAAGAAGAGGCACAATCCATCAAGAAATGAGCATGAACCATCAAAAAAATCACAAAAGTATTCCATGAAAGCACCATGCCTTGACCATCACTAGATTCGTAGTATCAACACACATAGACATGCATCAATATCACAAAACCTAGAGATAAACACATGGACATCTATTCTAGCATACATAGACATATGAATAGAATGAAATGATCAATTGGAAGAATTAAACGACATAAATCACGGTAGAAACAATATTTATATATATATCAAAGGTCAAGGCAAGAATTACAACACTAATCCCCATTAATTACAAAACATCAAAGTCTAGGAGGCATGCTTAGGGCTAGCTCTAGCCCTAAAAGAATGGTTTAGCCACTCATTGATGTTGTCATCCAACCCTCAAGGGCCATCTCCATAGTTGAATTGATCTTTTTCTCCTTGATGGAAACCCTAGATGAGTGGAAAGACTCTCAAATGGTGTGTGTCTATCTAATCTCTAGACTCCTCCAACCTCTCTTGTGTTCCTTTCTCTCGAAGATTGTATATGTGTAAAATGGGGCTCAAAATCCTTATATAGGTAGCTCAATTATCACACCCAATGGTCAGA